TTTTATTTCAGCAGGGCCTGGGGCACCCACTCTGGGGGGCCTACAGCCTGTCTAGTAGAAAACTTGATCAAAGCCCCCGGGCTCAGGATGCGATGCTGGGGGAACAGGGCTGGATGTGCCAGCATCCCTTCCCCCAGAGTTTCTAGGGTCCCTCTCAATGCCCTTGTGCCTGAGCAGCTCCCAGATGGTGTTCTGGCCCCATCAGGGCAGGATAGGGGGCAGACAGCTGGTGAGGTTGGCCCTGGGGCAGCACAGATGCTCCCTCTGCTTGGGTTGGTGTGTGTGTGTGTGTGTGTGTGTGTGTGTGTGTGTGTGTGTGTGACTGGCAGGCATGGAGAAGGATACAGTGGAATATCAGGACAAACTTGGGCAGCTTTCTGAAAAAAGAGCCCCCCTCCAACTCTTCCCTGCCTTTTTTCCCCCCTCCTTACCCCCCCCTCCCCAGGTGCTGGGGCTCCCTCCCAGCCCTCTGCCATGCCAGGCAAGAGCTCTGCACTGAGTGGCACCCTCAGCCCACCATCCGTCTTTTAAAGAGGCCAAGCAGGAACGCACCGGCTTCCTTCTCAGTTCTGCTCCTGTATCTATGCAGCCTTGGCTTTGTGACTTGGCCCTTCTGAGCCTCGGACAGTTTCTGTAAGGTGCAGACGATGAGGCCTCCTCGCTGGGTGCATGATGGGCCACCGATCTGCAGGGGAGACTCAGCTCCAGGCCAGAGCAAAGAAACTGGATGTTTTTAGATACTTGATCTGTATCCCTCTAAGCAAGAGGGAGGGCATTTCTGCTTGGCTCCAGGAAACGGTCAGCGCAGCTTAGAGGCCCTCTCACACCTGTCACAGCCAAGGATCTGCAAATTACCCTGGGGTCCTTACCTTCTTCAGGTACCAGGAAAGACCATGAAGCCAGGCATTCCTGAGTGTGTGTCCCCTCTCTGCCATGCTAACCAGGTGCCTTGGGTGAGTTCGTAGTTCCCTTGACCCCATAAAACTGAGGGAACACACACCAAACTCAGGGTTGTTGTGAGGTTCAGATGAGAAATAAATTTTACAACCCTATTGGGGAAAAAAGCAGCAACTAATAGATAGTTAGGTGCATGGGGTGGGGTGGGGTCTGGGGCAGATGCCCAGGGTACAAGCCAAGGGCTCAGGCAGCTGAGGCTGAGTTCCAAGTCCTGTGACTGCCAGGTTCTGTGAGGACCAGCGGAGTGGAGCCTCATTTACTTTCCTTAATGGGACAGCTGATTAATTGGCCTCTGAGTACTCCTGACAAGCGCTCCCGTGAGTGTCCCTGGTATGTGTCACCGTTAGCCCTTGCCAGGCTATGTGTGTGCTCAGCCAGTCAGCCTTGGGCATGAGGCTGTGACCCACTGTCCTATTCTCTGATTCTTAGCTTGTCCCTTAGATGACCTCGTGGAGCAGTTGCTGTGTTGGGGACTAAGGGAGTAGGAAAAGTCCTACCCTGGGAGCCCTAGTTCCGGGCAGGTGTAAAGGAAGAATCCAGAGAAAAATCAATGGTGGGGACTCAGTTCGATGATAGAGGCAATCAGTATCCCCCAACCTGGGCAAAATTCTGCTTGGCTTTGCCACCAATTCCCTGTGTGCCCTTGAAACCTGACCTTTCTCTCTCCGGTCCTGTTTTCCCCTCTAAAACAGGGTGCTGGAGGAGTTGGTCCCAGGAAGCTGCGGCCAGAAGCGAAGCAGCATGTGGGGAGGAGTGGGTTATGAAGCAGTGGCTTGGGGTTTTCACCCAGCTCCTCAGAGCTCTAGTCCATGACCTTGGATGGGTTTCCTAGGCACTCAGAGCTTGACTGACAGGGGTGTGCTGGCCCTGCTGGTGTAGAGCAGACACTGCATATGGAACCCTGCCCAGCAGTGCCTGGGGTAGTGGGCTGTGGGACAGCTTTGGCCCACTCCACTTCTCTCCCTTTATCCTGCAGTATCCAGAGGCTCCCCAGCAGACTGCAGGTGAGGTGGGGCCAGGGGAGCATGGCTGACCTCAGTGCTGAGTCTGCCGGACTGCTCCCCTCGGGGGACCCCACGGCTGGGAAGAGCTGGTCATCCTCAGCCTCTTATGGCAGGCTGGGAAGTGAGGGGAGCGCTGGGGTGAGGCGCACACACTAGGGCCCAACCTCCTGGAACCTTGCTCTTCTAGAACCATGGATTCTTTTCTATTCCCAAATCACGGAAGCAATCAATGGATTGTGGGACCTTTAGAAATGAAGAGTTGGACGTGACCTTGGGGTTTATTTGACTCAAAACTCTGTCCAGCCCAGGAAGCCTCTCTGCTGACCCCTGTACATCCTGGAGACCCTCCCATGGGTCTTAGGGCTGTCCCCACTCCAGTGGTCCTGACTAAACCCAGGCTCTACCATTGGCTCCCCTGGGCTGGTTGGTGCTGCTGCGGGGCTGGGAGGAAACCAGGCCCTTGCTCAGCTAAGAATAGAAGGCTTTGTGCGATTTAAGTAGCAGCCCCATCGCATCGGGCCTCCCGCTGGGCCCCTGGGAGCTTATTAAGCAGGATCTGGGGCCACCCTGGGTCCTCCTGGGTGGATGGGTGGAGGCCACGCTTCCTGGGGATTTCACTCCTGTCCCAGGGGATAATGATTTTCCCTTTTTCCATCAAACAGGGTTCTTCCTCCTCCTCCCTGGGGCCCACTGGGGAGTGGCTCCAATTGTCCTGGGGGAGAATCTCTTCTGGGACAAATTCAAACAAACAAACCTGCCTTTGAACAGAACAAATAGATCGATGAAAATGGTTTTGTCTGAAAGGAGAGAATGGCTGATGGTGAAGACTACTATTGAGCGCCTATTGTATGCCAAACCCTAGGCTCAGGGTTTGGGGCTCTAGCCTCATTTAATCCTCCCAAGAGGCCACAGGGAAGGGTTCTTGTCCCTGTGGTGCAGATGAGGATACAGACCCAGATACTATTTGGTATAACTGGGGTTAGAACCAAGAACTTTCCCATCCCGTCGCATCTGGGGGAGAAAATAGGGATTCCTGAGAGTCCTGGGAAGGGGTGAGGGTCAGAATTCTTGGAGAGAGCCCTGAGCATGAAGGATTTGGTCAATGACAGCAGTGAATCATATTTTAACTTACGTTAGACTCTTTTCCACTTTGGGCAGCATGGAGATATGGCACTGGGCTGGGGACAGGAATTGTGGCCCTGTCACAAACATAGCAGGTATATGCCCATGTTTCTTGAGTTTGAATTAAACCAAACCCTCTTGGGTCTCAGAGTCCCTTCTGTGAAGTGGACAGAAGCTGCTTGGGGCAGATTACGAGGCCAAAGCCAAAGATACCTGATTTTCTGACCTGGGAGTATACTGGTCCTTCCTGTCCACAGTCCCTAATACCCCCCACCCCCCACCCCACGCCCTGCCACCTCCCTAACCTCAGAGGTTATTTGCCAGTGTGAGAACTGGAAGGGACACTAAGAATCCTAGGCCACTCTATGGCTGTACACATGGGAAGACTGAGTCCCCAGAAAGACAGAGTGATCCAAGGTCATGGGTAAGTGGGCCTGTGAGCCTATGTCGGTGTTCAAGAAATCCCTCCTCCTTCCAAGCCAATGCCTGCTCCCTCGGGAACATTGCTTTTGGGTGGAGATCTGGAGGGCTCAGCGGGTAGGAGTCAGCTGATCCCAGCAGGGAGGCAGGGGCCAGAGATACGAGCCTCTGCCTGTAGTACCCTGGGCCCATCTGTGCTCAGTCAAACCTGCCCAACTCCACTGATCTGTCTGCACAAAGCTTCCAAACCCTCTTCCCTAGTCCCCTTTGGGAACTAAGCTCCCCATTTATCCCCATTTATTTAATGTTAAAAACATAACATAAACTTTATCATCTTAGTCACTTTAAGTGGACAGCTTGGTAGTGTTGTCTATATTCACACTGCTGTGCAGTGCCTCTCTGGGGCTTTATTTTTTCTTTGCAGTGTAGACCTCACACATTTTAGACAAGGGCTCTACCCGAGCTCCTCAGCCCTGACCTCCAGAGCATTGTCATCATGCAAAACTGGAACTCCTCCTCCCAGGCTCCTACTAACCACCATTCTACTTTCTGTTTCTATGTGACCACTCTAGGCCCCTACAGTGTTGGGCCTGACTCATTTCACTTAGCATAACGCCCTGTGGGTTCATCCATGTTACAGCAAGTACCAGGCTTTCCTTCCCCTTTGAAGCAGAGCAGCATTCCTCTGTGTGGCTACACCATATTGTGTCTGTCCACCCATCTGTAAATGGACACTTTGGTTATTTCCCTTTAGCTGATGTGGCAAGAATGGGAGTTTTGAAGTGAATGGGCCTGGGTTGGACCCCACATCCAGCATCACCTTTGCTATTTGTCTAAATCCCTCCTTACTGGCTGCCTGCCCTGTGGGGTGGCTGCAAGGAACAGCAATCTGTGTGCCTGCAGAAAGGCCCGGCACACAGCAAGTTCACTGTGGCAGGATTTATTCCCATTACCTGCTTTCCTTCTAGGGATGGTCCCTTTTGTCTATGGGTTATAGGACCCCCATACCCACGTCTCACCTATAGCCCTATCCGTGATGCTGGTGTAATGCCTTGGGAGTCTCAGTATATTGAAACAGGAGAGAACTTGGGCCCAGAAAGGGGCAGGGACTTATCCAAGTTCATACAGCCAGTCATTGGCCATGGTACTAAACCCATGTCTCCAGCCCTCCCCTACTCCCCAGGATCCACAGACCTTGTCCTTAGGAGGGATTGGCTCCCCAGGGACTTGCATATAATCTTGCAAGTATCAGGATTCTGGGAGGCAGGGGCAGGGCGAGGAGCATCTCAGGAGAATCACTATGGGAAACAGAGCCTGTGACACCTGCAAGTCTCCTCTGATCTCTGACTCCCCCCAGGGCTGTGGACAGGGCTCACCTCAGGCTCATTTGCATGGTGCAAGCTTGCCCAAGGTCCTGGCCTTGCACCTGGGCGCTTCCTCTGCTTTTACTCATTCAGTCATTCATTTACTGATCCCTTCCCGTGGTCATTTCTTCAGCAACCACGCTCTGAGGCCTGCCGTGGACTGAAGGACCAGCCAGACCATGGAGACAGTGTGACATAGAAGAGAGGATTCGGGGACTTAACTGTTGGGTTCGCGTCCTGGCTCTGCCAGGTATTACTTCTTTGACCTTCGGTAATGGTTTAACCCCTCTGTGCCTCACATTCTTCTCTAAAGTGGGGAGAGCAATGGTTTCTACTTTACACTTGTTCCAGTTATTATCCTCACATAACATATGAGGATATGTTAGTAACTTTATATAAGAAACTTAGTAACTTTATATAAGAACAAACCTCTCATTTTCTCAGTTTAGTAACTTTATATAAGAACAAACCTCTCATTTTCTCAGTTTCTGAGGGTCAAGGATTTAAGACAGCTCAGCAGTGGCTCTGGCTCGTAGTCTCACAGTCAGATGGTATGAGCAGCGAGGACCTGGGCAGCGGGGATTGGTGGCCTGTCTTGCTTTCCCTGCAGTCTCAGGGCTTCCTTTCTCCCTAAGTGTGGTTGGGTTGGCTCTCCCATGGCATGGCAGCCTCTGAGCAGTGGTGGTGGCTGGGGGGGCTCCAGCAGGAACATCCCAGTGAAAGACACAGGAGCCACATCACTTTTGGTGGCCTGGTCTCAGAAATCTCATAGTGCCACTTAATCCACTATTCTCAAATCCTCCTAGATTCAAGTTGTGGTAGGTAGACCCTACCTCTTCTGGGAAGATGTCAGCAGTAGACTGCAAGAAAAGCTTGGGGCGGGGGGCTGGGGTTACAGCTCAGTTGGTAGAATGTTTGCTTCACATGCACAGCAACAACAACAACAAAAAGGGCATGGGGGATGGGAGGTCCTGCTGCAGATCTCTTTAGAAATATAATCTGCTATAGTCTTGAGGGCTATGTGAGTCAAAACAGGAAATGCCTAGAACAATGCCTAGGCATTGCGTATAAGTGGTAGCTATATATAGCCAAGGATGAATTTGACCATATGCAATTTGCTTATGGTACTGATTTGAAGCCCTGAATGCCACTGCCAAAGCCAATCTACAGAACAACAGCATTTTCCATCTGGTATTGAGGAGTCTGTAGGAGTTTACCAAGCCCAGAAAAGTGGGAGGTCTTCCATGCAGCAGCAATTAGTTGTACAAAGGTATAGAATAGAGTGGAGTCCCTGGAGCAAGATAGAACTCCAAGTGGCGGGGCTGTCCTGAGGGAGAGAGGGAGATTGGAAAGGTGTGTTGAGGCCAGGTAGAGAAGAGCATTGCACATGGGGTTTGTACCTGATCCTGTAGGTTCCAGGGAGCTCTTGGCTGTTTCTTAGAGAGATGAAGGACCTGGTGTGCTACCATGGGGAAGCCCTGCGAGGTGGACTCAGCAGATGGAGGGAGGTCTGGACCTGGGTGTGGGAAGGAGGGGGCAGGCCTGATGGGGATCACACTGGGAGTTTCCCTTTGGTTGTTTGTTTCAGTTCCAAGTGTGATATGCACACCCAGCTTGCTGCCCTCTCCATCCAAAAGACTGAACACTTTGTGATTCTTCTCTGCTCACATTGGCTCTGTTGTAAGAGAGGGTACTGCTGAGACAGGGGGCCCTGGGGAGCCTGGCAGCCAGCCTCAGGGCCACTGGCACACCCCAGGACACCCACTGGCTTCCCCTTCTGCTCCCAGCCCCATCCATGGAGATAACAGCCCTTGCACCCCTCATCCTCTCCCTCCCATAGTCCTCCCCACTCTGCCTACAGCCTTAGGGTCCAAACAGACTTGGCTGGTCCACCCAGGGCTGTTGGTCCTCTCTGGGGCCCAGTTCTGCAGCCAGGGAGCCAGCCTGAGCCCTAGCCATGCCAGTCTGCACTCCTGGAGCTGGAAACTCCAAGTGAGTCAGTGGCCCAAGTTCATATTGTTTCCTGGATGCTCAAATCCCCACAGGCCCATCTCTGCACATCCGCATATACCTCTGTGAGCTTGTGTGCTTGTACCACCTGTGTCTGTAACTGTGCTCTGTGTGTGTATGTGTGTATGTGTGTGTGTGTGTGTGTGTGTGTGTGTGTGTGTTGAGCCCATTGGCTCTCTCTGGGCCCCACGGGACAGCTCCTAGTAAATGGCAAGCAGGTTAGGAGCCTCTACATGTGACTAAGCACACCAGCCCTAGGAGGATCAGAGGAAGGACACAGCCCTTGCCCTGGGAGGCCAGAGGCCAGAGGCTGAGGGAAGATCCAGACTTCACCAACGGGGCAAATCCAGCAGAAATACAAGTTCCCAGATTTGAGAGAGCTTACACTAGATGCCAAGGCCCAGGTCACAGTAAACAGCTTCCCCTGCTTTCTAGAGCCAGCCTGGGTATCTGATGTGCCACTGAACACTAGCAGGAATGTGGACTGGGGGCTGTGCGGGCACAGGAAGACGGACGAAGGCCGAGTCTGTGGGAGTCAGGGAAGGCGTGGTGCAGAGGAAACCCGAGCTCAGATTCCAGGGACATTTGAGGGGACACAAGGGAGAGGAGTGGGGAACAGGAGAAGGACCTGCAGTCCCAGTGGAACTTGGGGGTTTGAGGATGTGGAAGGAGGCTGGAGAACAGGGAGGATGGAGGTGCCCGAGAAGAGTGAAATGGTGGGGACAGGCTTCAGGGAAGGGGATGAGCTCCTACTTGGCCACTGTGGGTGTGAGGCTCCTGTAGGACATCCAGGGGAGATGCGACTGAACCCGTGGGGGTGGCTGACATGGCCCAAGGAAAGTATGAAGCAGGAGGAGGCGGGGGCAGGAGGCAGGGAGCAGGAGGAGGCCAGGGGCAGGAGGAGGCAGGGGGCATGGTGTGCAGCCTGGGCAGCCTGGGCAGAGAGGAGCACAGGGGCTGGGGAGGCAGCGGGGAGCAGGAGAAAACCAGGCAACGGGTGTCAGGAAGCCAGGGAAGGAGAATGTTTCCAGAAGGAGGGCCAGGTCCAGTGTCAGCTGAGGACTGAGCAGGATCTGGCGGATTTTCCCATGTGGATGTTGCTGGTGACTTGGTGGAAACAGAGGGTGGTGGGCTTAGCCCTCTGGCGGGGAAGAAGTGCAGAAAACTCTTTCTGAAGTTCAGGAGGAAAGAAAAGCAGTTTGGCTGGAGAGGGGTGGAGGGAAATGGACCAGGCGGGACTTGGGCCTGTTTATTGCTGACTGGGAGGTGGCCTGCGGAGAGCAGAGGGACTGTGCAGGAGGGAGGAAGGAAGAGTCGACCATAAACACTGCCCTGGCCCTCTGCAGCAGGGTCTGCAGTGGTGGGGGTGGCTCTCTCCCAGGGATAGTTGTGATGGGGAGGAGGTGCCCATGGTGGCAGCCCTCATCATGCTCCAGGGCCCCTGTCTGTCTTCAGGTCCGCAAAGTGGTAGTAACCACATTGGAGTGTGGGGAGGATCCTGAGAACCCCACAGACTCAGCACATCCTCATCAACCCATTCAGGTCAGGAGCTGAGCTAGGCCCAGTAGGTTGCCTGGTTGGTTGCTGCATGGACACTTCAAAGGAGGAAAGCCTGAGAAGTCAGGACATGGATTTGTCTGCTTCCAAAGAGGCCACACCCAACCCCACCCCTGGGCCCAGCTCCCAATTACTGGGAAGTTCTTCCTCCGGGTCTGGCCTGAGTCTTTCCTGCTGTGTGTTCCCTCTGGCGAGCTTGCTCAGCCCTGCCTGCACAGTGGAGCCAAGCCTATCAGCCGGCCACTTGGAGTGGCCGCTGGTGTTTTTACAACTTGTTTTCATGAAATCGGTTTCAAGTCTCCCTGCATTCCCAGAACGCCAGACCCGCCCTGATTCACAAGGATTGACCAAAACAGGGTCTGAGCCAGTCAGAGGAATCCGAGAACTTAGTCATTCTCCCTGGATCTTCCACAGATTCTCCTTCTTTCCTTCCAGTAAAAAAAATAAATAAATAAATAAAAAGAAATAAAGTTAGCCTAAAGGACCAGGAGGGGACAGTGGTAAGGTAGAGGCTCAGATGATGCAGGTGGTGGACAGAGGGGCTGGGCTGGTGAGAAAAAGAGCCAGCATATCTGGTGGACTTTAAGTTTCCCTGCCTAGAAGGCAGCAGAACTTTTCGACTCAGAGTCTCAGTTTGCACAATGGAAGAATTAATGGCTGCACCTCCAGGTGCTGAGGTTGGTCGGATCAGTAGGTCCCAAGGCAGGAGCTGTGTGAGAGTGACTTATTGGGAAGTTTTCCAGAAGACACGCTAAGGGAACAGGGAAAGTAGAAAGCAGAGAAAGGAGGAGGAGAAGCAGGAGGCGATGTCAGCCAACTCCACATAGGGAACTGCAGCTTAGTCTGGCAGAAGAGCTCAGGGGACAGTGTCTGCCACACCCCAGGGCTGGCCCTCCTGTGGCAAAGATGCTGGGGCACTTACAGCCCACCTAGTCAGTCACTGGTGAAGGGCCACCTTGGGAGCTGGCCATGACCTTGATAAAGGGAGTTCAGCAGTCCAGGGGCATCTGGACACCCCCCCACACACCCACACATACACACAGCTGGGTGCTGGTTGTTGGGAGGGACCACAGAATCCCATGTGCCCCCCAGTAGTAAAAGGGTCCCAGTGGATATGGGTGGAGCACGCAGAGTCAGCTTCAGGGGATTAACCTGTGGATTATGTGAGATGAAGCTCGCAGGGTGCTGAGTGGCCAGAACCTGGCACCAGTAAGTGGCACCAGCGGGGGAGCCCAGGGCTGGGGTAGCACCTCCTGAGAGCTATGTGGCGCTCCTGCTGCTCTCCTCTCGCTCACCTTCCAGAGGCAGAATGCCAGCGCTGCCCCCGAGGTAGGAGGTGGGACAGGCAGAGGTTAGTCTGTCCAGACTAACAGATCTGAACACCAGCAGGAAATGGAGGCCCTGTGGCCCAGCCCCTCCTGAATTGAATTTTGGCTTTTGTTGCCAGCCCATACCACTGTGTCTTTTTCTGGACTTTGTCCCTAGAAGGTGCTCCGTGTCACTTGGGGGAACTCGTGTTGGTCAGCATGTCTCAGGAAAGAACAAACAGAAATTGTCCTTTCAGGCTGTTTTGACTAAATCCTAGGATCTGACAATGTGACTTTAACCGCTGATGTCAGCCTGCCTGGGTCGGCCTGGATGGTATCCTCCCTAACTCTTCCTCTGTCCCTCATGACAGACATCACAAGAGATGTCACCCATGACCTGATCTCCCCACTCAGGCCCCTGAGGGTCTATCCCTATAGACCATGAGAGATGTGAATACCAGTCCAGATTCTATGACCTACTAGGTGATCTGCTAGGGCTAGGTCACCTCCCTTTTCTGAGCCTCGGTGCCCCATGTTCCTAAGCAGACCTGTAAATTGCTCACCTAAAGTGAGGCAATTTCATGATGCTGATCCCTTTGTGACAAAGCTGATGTCCAGAGAAGTCAGGTGATTTGCCCGTGACCACACAGCAAAAGGATGGAAGCGAGAGGGTGAGGGCCTGCTCCCAGGCAAGTGGCTGGTTAAGTGAGCACCTTGACATTTCTCAGCTCTGCCCTGGCCCCCAGCCCTGGCCCCTTTTTGCCTGGGTTCATTAAATGCTTCACCATGTGAAGGTGAACTGAGCCAAAAGCTCCTCATTGCTGTGTCCCTAGTGGCTCACCTGGTCAGCACTAGGGGCAGCTGCTGGGTGAGGGCTCTGTGTTCAGATGGGCTAATGTCCCATCCACTGCAAAGCTGGGAACCTACAGGCCCAGGGGTGAGGGTGGACATGGAGTGGTGACCCCAGAGAAGGAACTGGTCTAAAGGGTCAGGTCCCTGCTGGGCTGGAGGTGGGGGTGCCGGGGAAACAAGTCTGCTCACCCCCAGGGGGCTCCAGCTCTATGCCAACTGACCCACCACCAGTAAGGACTCCCCTGGCCTCTGTCATCTTTGTCTCCACCACTAAACCTTGGGCTCCCCCATCCCGAGCCCCATCCATTCACTGGGTGCCTGGGAGCTCAGGGAACGTGTGTTGGTCACTCCACCTGTGATCGTCTAGACAGGCCGGGGGCGGG